GTCACATTTATCGCTGCAGTGCATAATCTGCTCTGACTGCTTTGTCTCATGTTCTGCCAACGTGAAAAGCAGGGGTTGCTGCACAGCAAAAAAAGTGCCCAGTAGAAAGGAAAGGTTTGGGAACCAGAAAGACATCAGAAGTGGTTTAAAATCTCCTCTTCGAGGCCACAGGCAATTCAGGCAAGCTTCACCCACAGCCACTGGAGCAAAACTGGGCATGTTACAGAGACTGCATGCACATGACATGGAGCCAGGGAAATGGGAGTTTCTGTCTTTAGGCCGACTACTCAAACCCATTTCCCCCTGCAGTAAATACTTACTGTGCTGGGAAGGAAAGGTGGAAGAGCAGAAAGTGAGCCTAAATTCTTTATTAGAGATATAAGCAGGTGACTTAAACATTCGAGACAGCCAAAAAGCAGAGATTTATCACTCCTCTGCCATGGCACTGGGATGCTCTTCTCTAGGGGATGCAGTTCCTGAGTATACCAACAAAATGACCAGTGTCTAAATGAGCATCCTGACATGCAGCAAGGCTAGGGTGGTTTGTGCACTGATGTGTCTAACAGCTCCTCTTCCACTCTACAACAGTCGTGTCTTACGTAGGTTACACAGCAGTGGAGAAATGAACTGAACAAAGATGAACTTCATCCTGGCTGTGTTTCTACAGCAATTTCTATTGCAAAGTCTCAAAGACTTCCTGTTAATCTCTACTTGCGATGAAACAAAGAGAAGCAGCAACTAAGCTTTCTGGCCTGCAAGCCTGTTTCTTCCTGAAATGCAACCAGAAGCCTGCTAGAAAAGCGCTTCATCCACACGGCTGGGAAGAGCAAGCAACATCGACACCTACCGCTGGATATTTTAATTGCTGATAGCACCCAGCCACTGACCGCAAGATAAAGCAGGAAGAGGACTTCACACCAAAAAGTTAATCACTGTGATTTCCTTCACGCACAACCGTATTTTTCCAGCTCATTAAAAGATAATTTAAGCATCAAATGAAATTTCTCTCCCGAGAGATGAAGGAAAAATTTAGCAAGCTGGGATAAAGAGCTTTACCTCTGTGTCATCCCTCCAAACATTGCCCTTTTCCTCAGAAACTTTCACCAAACGGACTTTCCACGATTCAGAATAGCTTCCTATTGCTCATATTAACCATCTGTGAAAAGAGATGACAGGAAAAGGCTCCAGAGCTAGAAAAGTAACCACCATTGAAGTGAAAATAATCTGACGTAGAAGATAGCAATGCCCGTACTTGCTCCTATGGTGATCTATATTACAGCAAGAAATATTGCTTCTCCCTGCTACTCCTACCATAGGCTATACATCTATATGTATATGCAGACATATCTAAGGTAAATTGCCATAGGAAAATTCCCAAGGAATTTCCCAGAGCAGCACTGCACACTCAGAAAACACACACTGACAGCAGGTTGTGTCCATGGCGGCAGTGAGTTGTGTCCTGCAGTGAGGAACATCAGAGCAGCAGCACAAAACAGGCAGAGCTCGCCACAGATTTTGGGGGGTTTTCTGGCAAAGTCTCAGAGCTTCTCACATCAAAAACTCAATCCAGAATGCATTCAAGCCAGCTCAGCACCAGCTTTGCATTGCCAATGGGATTGATAGGAAGCAGCCTCGCTGCAAAATGAAAACACATGGAAATGCAAAGCCAGACCCTGCATCTACACAAGCGTGGCCAGGGGCCCATCCACCTGATCTGTGTCCCTGCATGGCTCACGTCAACCTTGGCTGCCCTGGTGCTGCCAGCACCACAGAGGCCTGGAGCGCTCTGAGCTCCAATCTCCCTGTACCAGGAGACCCAGACCCGAGCCCTGCATCAGATAAGGGCCGGGATAGGGCTCTCCAAAACACGCGCTGCCATTGCATTCACCTTCCCTTTTCTTCCACAGCGACTGCCTCGCTGCCTGCCCCAGCCAAGGACACAGCACCCCTGTCCCCACCTTGGGGTTGGCAGTGCCACCTCCGGGCAGACACAGGGACAGCGCGAGGTGAACACTTCATCGCCTGTGTTGACACAAAACCTGTCCCTGTAACTACATTTTGAAGAATAACAGCCATCTAATCTTGATTTTCCACTGATTTTGCAGCACCATAACACGGCACAGCCTGATAACAGCGGTGTCTCCAGCTGGAGTGTTAAGGCCCATTGTCCTGGTATTGTTTTTTTGTGATTCTGGCCTTTACCAGCTTTCGTAATGTTTGTCCATCGTTGTTGATACAAGACTGGCGTGAAATGAGAGGAGCATATAAAAGTGGGAACAGTCTGCACCAGATCAGTCCTGGTCCAAGATGGCCAAGCTCACCCTGCTCACCGCTTTACCACAAGTGTCTGGGGCTCTTTCACTTTATACTGGGTGGCTACAGGGGAGATTGTTTTGGATTAAAAGCACTGCACTCTCTTCTCTGTCAAAGTAAAAGACATAGCAATGAGTTTAGGCAGGGATAGTTATATATTTTAGTACTGCTGCAGTGGATATGTTATGCTTTAAAGGTAACTGGAATTCACAGCTGTTTGAAATGGGAATGTGCTTTTTGAATAAAAAATCTGAAATAAAAATTCTGCACTGTCACTTCTTTGGTTTCTTTTCTGTTTTTAAATGAAATCGTTCGACAAATTTTTCTCACTCCATATAAAGCCTCAGCTGAGCAAATGCTCAGAATACAGAGATTCTTGTACGTTTTTTACGGAAAACAGTGATCACAAGATAAGGTTGTACCGGGTTCAGTCCAGTCCTACACAAGAACTTTGTCTTTCTATTTGTGCTATTATTGTACAAACACTAAAACCTTTGTTCTCTTCGTTACAGGTCTTGCCTTCCTGCTGTATGCCCAGATAGGTATGTGCTTTTTTCTTGCCCAGATAGGTATGTGCTTTCTTCTGAAAAACATCTCTGCCAAACCCTTCTCAGCCTCAGCATACACAGGCAGGGAAAACAAGCAGTCACACAAAGAGCTTTACACCCAGGTGCTTCCCCAGAGATCGCTTCAGCCTCTGCTCTTCCTCACCTGGCAGCAAAGGAGAAAGAGTCAATCTGGGAAATAACCCCTAATTCAGGAGTTTAAGGGTGCAAGAGGCTCCAAGACCAACTCATCCACTGAAACAAAATAGGAAGGGAAGAAATCCACCTTTACTCTTGCAGAGCCAGTTCCCAGAGGGACAACCAACCCTACTTTACATTCTCTGAACTCACCCTGCAAGGAAACACTGCCCAGTCACTTCCCATCAGATCTAGTGATGGTTCATGTCTGCAGTTACTGGTATCTCTTCGTGCAGCCCAAATCTACCCCACCTCCTCTGTTTCTCTGCAGGCACTGCCTATATCCTGTCATGTTACTTCACCAACTGGGCCCAGTACAGGCCTGGTGCGGGGAAATTCATGCCTGACAACATCGACCCGTGCCTGTGCAACCATCTGATCTACGCCTTTGCTGGGATGAACAACAATGAGATCACGACTTACGAGTGGAACGACGAGACCCTTTACAAATCCTTCAATGGCCTGAAGAACCAGTACGTACCGAGAGCAAGGGGCATCGCCTGTGCTCCCCCTCGGGTCCTGCTCTGTAATTCAGCATCTGCAGAATGGCAGCACAATCTGGGGTTGAGGGATGCCAAGGAGAAGAGGCAGACAGTGATGGGGAGGAAAAGGGAGGGCAGGGAAGCACAGGCTGCCACCACTGATCCTCAGAGGATGGTGACAGTGACTCAGGGCGCTGCTGACTTGCTTGTGCTTTGGGTTTCACACCAAGGGATCACAGCCTACAGAGGCAGCTACACCAGACACTTACTTGTAGTAAAACATTTTCCTGTCCTTTTCTTTGCAGGAACAGGAATTTGAAGACTCTCTTGGCGATTGGAGGATGGAATTTCGGGACATCCAAGTAAGTTCAAACCACCTCCTGCCTGCAACATCACCCCGGAAAGAGGGGGATAGGGAGGGAGAGGCACCAAACAAAACCCCAACTCTGTCCTGCTCTGCTTCCCCAGGTTCTCCACAATGGTTTCCACTCCCCAGAACCGCCAGACCTTCATCAAGTCCGTCATCAAGTTCCTGCGCCAGTATCAGTTTGATGGGCTGGACATCGACTGGGAATACCCTGGCTCCAGGGGCAGCCCAGCCCAGGACAAGGCTCTTTTTGCCACCCTGGTTAAGGTAGGTTTTGGTTAAGCTCTGCACAGCTCTGCTCAGAGCCATGGGCACATACAAAAGCTCAGCCCAGAGAGTCCGTGGTGATTCCTGTTTCTCGGCATCCCTCAGGAAATGCTGGAAGCCTTTGAGCAGGAAGCTAAGCAGGTCAACAAGCCCCGTCTCATGGTCACCGCTGCAGTTGCTGCAGGAGTTTCCACCATTCAGTCTGGATACGACATTCCTCAGCTTGGAAAGTGAGTAGCAAACCCTCAGGTATTGTTCCTGCAACTTAAGTGATCTTCCTTCAAGTGGTCCTGAGTTTCTGCTCAGAAACTCTGCTATTATCTGGCAGAGACCAACCTCACTGCATGTGGGGTCTTGTGTGTTCCCATACAATGCTATGAGAGCGGTGCTTGTTTGGTGGAAAGGGGACACCTTGGGAAGGGAACAGACTGGCTCCAGCTACTCAAAGTCATTGGGGAACATGTCTCAGTTCCCACAACACCAGTGCAATCCTACTCTGCCTTGACCCTGCCTCCCTCCTCTGGAGGAGAGACTTTTCTCAAGCATTTATAAGGTGAGCTCAGAACCAGCCAAATTTGCAGAAAGTGGGGATGTGGACAGGGATGTGGTGGGGTAAATGGCCAGCACTAAAGGAATGATCAGGTCTGGGTGACCGAGCAAGCAAGGATATAGACATGCACCACGTTCTGCACAGGTACCTGGACTACATCCACGTGATGACTTACGACTTCTACAGCTCTGGGGATGGCCACACTGGGGAGAACAGCCCTCTGTACAACAGTGCTAACAGCTACCTCAGTGTTGTAAGTGCATTTTGGGAGCCTCTGTCAATGAAGTCATCTTCCCACCTACAAATCCTGGCACAGACTTGAACTGTGAGCGTTTCTTACAGGAATATGCTATGAACTACTGGAAGAACAACGGTGCCCCAGCTCAGAAGCTCCTTGTTGGCTTCCCAACCTACGGACATAACTTCAACCTCCAAAACCCATCGAACACCGCTGTTGGGGCACCAACATCAGGACCTGGGCCAGCTGGACCTTACACGCAGCAGGCTGGGCTTTTGGCTTACTATGAGGTACGTGTGCTCCCTCCTCACACCCTGGCCACCGAGAACAACACAGACACTCCTCAACCTACCCAGCAAGGAATTTTTAACCCATGTAATATCCCAACTGCCCTTGTTTGTAGGACACTTGCTAACTTCTCCCTCTCTGTCCTTTTTTCCTAGATCTGCACCTTCCTGAACTCTGGAGCTACCCAGGCTTGGGATGCCTCTGAGGATGTGCCCTATGCCTACAAGGGCAGCGAATGGGTTGGCTATGACAACATCAAGAGCTTCAACGTCAAGGTGTGGTGGGATGCATTGCTGTGCTATTAATGATACAGGAGGTCGTTTGCAGTAGCAGCATCCGGGACTAATTGGGATTTCTCCTCTGGCACTGAACAGGTTGACTGGCTGAAGAAGAACAATTTTGGAGGTGCTATGGTTTGGACCATTGATATGGATGACTTCTCTGGATCTTTCTGCAAGCAGGGCAGATATCCCCTGATCACTGCCCTGAAGAACGGCCTTGGTCTGCGGAACAGTGGTGAGTAACTTGATTAACATGGGGTTTGTGCTTATTGCATCAGCTATACAAAGCTGGTGTGCTCGTAACACCATGGGGCCATGAAAGGAGAGGAGAGAGGGGAGTCCATTACAAATATAATGCCTTCCCACAGCAAGTCAACTTCCTGCTCTCATTTCAGGCTGCTAGACCTATTAACAGTCCAGTCCTCAAGTCCCTGTAGCTACTAAACATGGAGTGGGAGTGCAAACATGAGCTGGAGTAAGAATTCAGGTGACTGTGGTGGGAGCGGTTCCTGTGCTGCCCAAGCCATCCAGACTCAACCAACCTGAGCAGCTTTAACAGTGTCTGAAGATCAAAACTTGGTTCAGAACTGCCATGACAGTCTTGACTGTAATACCAGCAGCCCCTGCTACAACAGGCAATGAAGACACCAATCCTAATACAGCAAACAGGTCACTCTGATCTCACTGTCTGGAATAATAGTGGTTAAATAAAGTGTACTGAAAAAGCAACAGTCCTAATTTCAAATCATTTTGCTCTTAATACTTTGATGCTCCAGTTCTCTTGTGATACTTACACTTATGTTCAGGGAAGAGCCTGACCCCACAAGCTCTACTTTAAAAAGCCATAAATGAGCATTTTCCAGGGCTTTCTTGCTGTATCAGCAGGGCAATCAGTGAGAGGGGAAAAAGGCAGCAGGAAGGGATGGGGCAGATCAGGCTGTGCTATGAGAGAGCACACAGAGAAGGGTCACAGTGGCACAAACAGGACACTGGCTCCACACAGAACAAGGCCTCTGCATTTGGCCAGCAAAAAGCCCTCTCCTCCTGGAAAGGTTCCTTCCCAAAGGGACCAGTCCTCAAAGCTCCCCAAGCATCTGCACTCTGGCCTGGAGGCAGCTGCAGCAACCACTCCCTGCTGCAGGAATGGTTCATGGGCACGGAGCCATTCACAGCAGACCCTGATGTGTCCTAGAGCCCCAAAACTCCTCTCCATGGCCTGAGCACCAAGGGACCCTCAGGCCCCATTGCAGCAGCATAAGGGGGGAATCACAACACTGTTCTTTCTGCTCTCCCAGCAAAGGTTCATTTAGAAAGCATCTGCTTAGAGCAGAGAAATGAGTGGGAGTGATCTCTTCTGCTGCTCAGGCACTTCTGGCCTTCCCCTGATGCAAATGGTGTCTTAAAAATGTCAGCAAGGCGCTTCTGCTTTTAAAGGACAGGGAATCAGTCTCAGATAGTCCCTGGAAGTGAAACCACAGAGCAAGAAAGGCTTTCTGATAGCAGCAAGAGCAGCTCAGTGCTTCCTGCCAGATTCATAGGTGAGAAATGCGAGTTTCAAAGCAGCAGAGCCATTGCTTTGGAAGAAACTGTAGGCTGTTCCCACCACAGACTCTCAGTTTCAGTCACATCTGCTGGGGGTGCAGTTCACCCATGCACAGCACCGGAGCTCCACGGATCACTTCAGACCCCTCTAAAAGCAGAACTGAGATGATGCAGCAGCCCTGAGGGGAACGTCCCAAGGGTGAGGGTCAGCCTCCACCGCACTTCAATACGCTCAGCTCTCAGTCCAGCCCCTGGCATCAGGCAGAAGTGCAAAAAGCCACTGATGAGTCTGCCATCACATGTACACATCAGCTGCTCTGGCTTTTTGACCTCATCTTCATTGGTCATGAACATTTTTTCAAAGCAGACTCTGTTTGAGAAGAAGAGAGCTGGGAAAGCAGGAGGCTTTTAGATGCCTGTGGCTGAAGTACACAGGCAAACACCAACCAACCTCAGGTTGACACAGATCAACACACACAGAGCATAGCAGCAGGTAAATCCTCGTACTAAGCCTAGGGCCTCGTGACTCATATAAGCTCTGGCAAGATAGGCTATACATCTATATGTATATGCAGACATATCTAAGGTAAATTGCCATAGGAGAATTCCCAAGGAATTTCCCAGAGCAGCACTGCACACTCAGAAAACACACACTGACAGCAGGTTGTGTCCATGGCGGCAGTGAGTTGTGTCCTGCAGTGAGGAACATCAGAGCAGCAGCACAAAACAGGCAGAGCTCGCCACAGATTTTGGGGGGTTTTCTGGCAAAGTCTCAGAGCTTCTCACATCAAAAACTCAATCCAGAATGCATTCAAGCCAGCTCAGCACCAGCTTTGCATTGCCAATGGGATTGATAGGAAGCAGCCTCACTGCAAAATGAAAACACATGGAAATGCAAAGCCAGACCCTGCATCTACACAAACGTGGCCAGGGGCCCATCCACCTGATCTGTGTCCCTGCATGGCTCACGTCAACCTTGGCTGCCCTGACGCTGCCAGCGCCACAAAGGCCTGGAGCGCTCTGAGCTCCAATCTCCCTGTACCAGGAGACCCAGACCCGAGCCCTGCATCAGATAAGGGCCGGGATAGGGCTCTCCAAAACACGCGCTGCCATTGCATTCACCTTCCCATTTCTTCCACAGCGACTGCCCAACCTCCACGGCAAGGGCAGGGAGAACAAAATGACCTCTGTAAAGCAAAGGCTCTGCACACCGAGGTTGGCAAGGCCAGGATGGCTACGGGCTTTGGGGAAACAGCAGATTTTAGAGGGTTTGCTGAGCACTTCACCTGAATCTAACAGGGCCTGAAGAGATGAGAAAGCTTGAGGAACCATCCTGGAGCAATACACTTTCACTCCAGGAGCAGCACACAAGGTGTCTGTCTGCACACTCCGCTCTGTTTTAACTTGAATGCTTTTGGCAAGGACCAATTCTCCCGTCCTTACTTAAGGCCCATTACCACTGCCACGGGAGCAATGGCAAACAACCTTTCTTATGACAGAAAGAAGGCAGAAAATGCCTAAAGAAAAACTCCATGATGTGCCCAACTGACATTCATCACCACCACATGCAGACAAATCAGTTTCCTTGATTCCTCTCAAAATGCTTTCCTTGTCACACCGAAACACGTTTCTACAGAGAACAGACCTGCACGGCTCCAGAGGTCACCGAGGGTGGGATTTTCCAAATCTGTTCCAATTGAGTTCATATTGTGTTACTTTATCGACCAAGAAACACACTGGAAAAATACTCCTTGAAGATGATTGCTTCCCTATCTGCTGTATCTCACCCAGTGCTCGGATGAAAGCTGATGGTCAGACGACTGCATTTTAATCAGCAGGCCGGTGACTTCAGCACCAACACGTGGTATGGGCAGCTTTGAGGGCATTTTCCAGGCTCCCATTCAGCCAAGCCTGGGTGATGTACTGGAAATTCACCTTCACATGATTCTAGCAGGAATTAAGCAACATCTCAGTGCAGAGGAACTGGCCACGAGCTCACTGTGTCTTACCCCAACGTTTGCACAAGCCCTGGCAGTGCCCAATGTGCAACAGGAAAGAAACCACACATCTCCTTGAACACAGCAAGAGCTTTCAGCCTCCACCTGGACTGAAACAAAGATGTAGAAAGAATATTTTGAGACAAAAACATCATTTCCAGCACCTCTAAATACCTTTTAAAAAATTCCACTCAGCTGTGCTTAGAAGAAAGACACCGCATACTGGAAGCAACAACGAGAGACATTTAAGCTAAATCAAACACTTTGCTTTTTTAAGAAAGCCTTTCACAGTAACAACTGCTGAGAAGATCACACGGAACAAAATAACAATAAATTGAAAAGACATTCACCCTAAGACATCCATTTCACCCTATGGAGCTTCACAGAAAGCCAAGGCAAGACATGAATGCTCGGCAACACAGAGGGAAACGGTTTGGGGAAAAGCTGAGCAAAAAGAGGAAGGAATACGTGTGGGAGGAAATGCAAAATGCACTGTGCTCTGTCCATGGGCACTGTCTAAAAGAGCTTGAACTCTGAAAAATAATGCTTCTCCCTGAAGAAAATTATCTTGGCAAGACACTGCTTCGTTCATTAGGCTGCTAAGCACCTATTGTGGGCCAATCTAATTGTTTAAGGCACATGTTAAAGCACTTTTCTTGCCTTCTTTTTCTTATTTCTTGACAATAGTCACCAAGAACAAGTGGGAGAACAACCCAGATAGTGTGGGCAAGAGGCAGTGGGGATCACAAAGCTCCTGGATCCCCACAGACACTTTGCCTACACCAAAATGTCCCCAAAACGCCCAGTGCCGTGAGCCCAAGCCCTGCTGGGTCCTGCCTCGCTGCCTGCCCCAGCCAAGGACACAGCACCCCTGTCCCCACCTGGGGTTGGCAGTGCCACCTCCGGGCAGACACAGTGACAGCGCAAGGTGAACACTTCATCGCCTGTGCTGACACAAAACCTGTCCCTGTAAATACATTTTTAAGGACAACAGCCATCTAATCTTGGTTTTCCACTGATTTTGCAGCACCATAACATGGCACAGCCTGATAACAGCGGTGTCTCCAGCTGGAGTGTTAAGGCCCATTGTCCTGGTATTGGTTTTTTGTGATACTGGTCTTTACCAGCTTTCGTAATGTTTGTCCATCGTACTGGCATTTACCAACTTTCGTAATGTTTGTCCATCGTTGTTGATACAAGACTGGCGTGAAATTAGGGAAGTGTATAAAAGTGGGAAATGATCCGCACCAGATCAGTCCTGGTCCAAGATGGCCAAGCTCACTCTGCTCACCGGTAAGTCCTGCTTCACAATCAGCTCTCTGCCTTTACCACAAGTGTCTGGGGCTCTTTCACTTTATACTGGGTGGCTACAGGGGAGATTGTTTTGGATTAAAAGCACTGCACTCTCTTCTCTGACAAAGTAAAAGATACAGCAGTTGCTTTCAAGATGACAATTTGATGCACCACCTTTGGAATCTATTTCTTTTTCTTTAGATACGCAAATTCCCAATTTAATTGCTTTATTAAATTGAAAAATTATCTTGGACCAAGAAAACAGAGGAAAATTGGCCATTCTGATAGAAAGACTATTGCTGCCTCCATAGCAGAGTAAATTCAAAAAGGCTTCTGCTATTTCAGCCACGCTTATGGGCATCAAGTTTCCCTGTTGCTTAACCCTGGCTGAAAGAAGCAGCAGAACATGGAGCCATTGATGGCCATGAGCTGCTCTGTGTGTCCCCTTTGCTCAGAACGAATTGGGACCTGGGAGACAAATCATGTTGTGTTCAGACAGATCCTCATGAACAGGAGCAAAACCAGGCCCACTAAGAAGCAACTTTATCATCTATGTTATGGGATATCTAACAGAGAGTTTCTGCTGGCTCAAGCATTACCTTGTTTCTCAGTTCTTAGACTAACCCCATCCTTTTTTCTTACAGGTCTGGCCCTCCTGCT